GGAATAGGAAGGAAACAATTCTTACTTAACTGATCTTGTCAGAGCATGAGGAGAGGTAGCCCTGAGTCTGTTTGTAGCTCTCAACTTAATATGCTGAGCCAGCAATGCACTTTGCAGTCTAGGTGCAGACACCTAGTTAGAGCAAACCAGCGCCAGGAGGAATGTATACCTGCTGTCTGACAGCCTGGTAACATGGCCATCTCAAGAGTTTTGCCAAAGTGCTTTGTTTCCTCCAGAGATAGGAAGGATGCCCCACCAGGCCATCTTTTCTCCCTTTCTGCCCAGGGAATTCTGGTAAACTTGGGGTGGACTAGGTCTGATCGGAAGTGAAGCAGCTGTTGAGGTAGTGCTTCTGTCTCTAATTCAACCATGGCTGATGTACAAGTGCTAGTACATGACAACTAGACATGAATTGGTCAGCATTAAAACTGGAGAAGCCTGATGAGGTTTAGTACTGAATCAAGTCCTTGTCTTTAGGAAGGTGTTATTAAATTCCTGCCACTTACATCCCATCAGGAGGCCTTGAGCTGAACGCAACATTAATTTTATTCTAACAGTCTTGTGTTGTGGAGCTGTGGGAGAGAGGGGTGAGGAACCAACCCACAAACACATCAGGTTGGCTTGATGTTTCTCAGACTACTTCAGATGCAAAACCTTCTGCAGGCATGGCTGATGTCTGTTTGAATTCAAGATCTGGGGCTGTATTTAATATTCCAGGGCTGAGCTTGAAGTTGTCTTGTCTGATTGAAAGGAAAAGTGTGTCTTAGGCTGTAAGATATGCTACTGAATTCTGTCTTTCAGACTCTACCTTCCCAGGAATGAGCTGGATAACCCTCACAAGTCTAAAACATGGAAAGTCTACAGTGAGACATTTGCCGTGGAGGTGAACTTTATTGATCCATAAGGGAAATCTGAAAGAAGGGAAACATGTAAAATTCATCTCTTTCCTGGAGAATGTCTTTCTATTTCAGTATAAAGGGAAGTAGTCTCATTTTGATGTACCTAATGTATTTCTGTGTAGATACAACTTCTCAAATAAAGTTACATGAAGTTCTGTTGTGCAGGGCAATAATACTCTGAGGAGTTACTTAGTGTCAACTGACTGTCACATCATGAGCTGTTGGATCTTTTGGAGCTTAGATATCTCTGCATACAGGTAATTCCTATTTTAGTCATCTAAGACCATTGTCTGTCTTTAAGCAAGAACATTAACATGATGGTGAGTGAAGACCAACAGTCTGCAGGAGACTGCAAAATCTGACCTCAGCTTTTCATCAGAAATCAGTGATGTAGGGTTTTGAGGAACACTTGGCCTGGGAGTTGTGGGGGTTGAGACTGCACAGCTACTTTTCTAGTGCTGTGCCTCCCCACCAAAGGCTGAGTTCAATTCTATGTATCTCCACAGATAGGCTTTTTCACACAATACTTGATCTTCAAACTACTTTTCCTTCCTGGTTGGAATTTCCCCTATTCCAAGCTGTACCTATTGCATCTTGTCCTGCCCGTGGAAGCCTCTGGGAAGAGCCTGGCTCTATCCCTTCCCATGACTGAGGTAACTGTAGCCTCTTCAGCTTTCTGTTATGGGTGAACAAACTTTTTTCTCCACCATCTATTCTCACTGCCCTCTGCTTGACTTGATCCAGTATGTCACTGCCTTTCTTGTACAGGGGAACATGAAATTGGATGTGATATTCCATGTCTGCTCACAAGGTATGAGCAGAGGGTCAGAACTGCCTCACCTGCTGGCTCCAGAGCCTGCTGTAGCAACCTAGTCTTTGCTGCAAAGGTGTGCTGGCTTATGTTCAACTTGTGCAGTGTTATTCCCCAAAATGTGGTGTTGCTTCAGAGCCAACTGCCCCTCGAGGTTAAGCAGTGCTGGTAAGGTTAATACAACCCCCATCTCCGGCTTGAGAAAAGGAAGAAACACCCACTCACACAGACGTGAGACACCAGCTGCAAACCTAGAGGGCAAGAGGGCAGGCATGTAAGGCCTCAGTGTCCACAGGAATGTATTAGGAGCTGGAAGAGGATGTCCTTTTATTGCAGCTAGAAGTGACTGATGACTAAGTTAATTTTGGCTTAGCTTAGGCAATTGGATATCACTGTCCTAGGATGCCCTTTCTAGTAGCTGGCAGGGCAGTTAAGGTGACCCATCTTCCTGCTTATGGAGTAAGGTAATTTTTTCAGGTAGCAGCAGTATAGGCTCTAGCCTTTCTAGCTGAAGCATATGCAGTTAAGTAAAAACTACTGTGTAAGCAGCACTGAGAAACAAAATAGCTATATAAGGGATAGACTATGTTTCTCTTGGGACATCCAAGCACCCCTGCTCAGATGATAACAATAGTCCTGCAACTCCCTGTTGCACTGACCTTCACTGGCCTCAGGGTAGTGCACACTCATCCCTTACGTACATGGAATTTAGGCAACCTGTGCTGCACTTGTGGTATTCTTCCAACAGCAAAATTAACCTTATAACATGTATCATGGTAATCTAGAAACCTGGAAGTTGAGGTGACCCTTAATATTAGAACTGACTTTGGTACTAGTGAAGCAACAGGCCAAGGGCTGAACTATGGGCTTTATTTTCCATAGCAGAAGAGGCAAAATCGGCAGTTGTTTCACAGCACCTTGCTCTAGCTGGCTTTTTCCTTTCAGGTTTGAGGGTTTCATACATTCATTGATTATAAAGTCTTTTTAATTCCAGACAGGTGGTGACGCTGACTTCAACCTCTCTTTGTTTCTAAGCTAGACCAGCTTGTTAAGTGCTGTTGCATAAACAATCAAGTACTTAGTAAGTCAAATGAAACTTTATTCCCATGAATTCCTATACCAACATCATGAAGTTCTTAGCTGAACAACTGATACATATGTACAGCTTAAGCAGCTGTGACTGAAAAAATTACTGCTTACATCAGCTTCAGAAGGTAAACTCTCAAAAATGCCACCAGCTTCTTGCTGTAGGTTCAGTGCTACATATCCTGCTTCTCTTGAAGCTTCAACTTTTGTATTAAAAACTGCAACCATGAGCTTTAAAAAATGAAAGCAAAGACAAATCTAAGAAATAGATTGAAGTATTCCACTGATGTGGACTTAAGTCCTCACCTTTTCACAACTATTACAAACATGTACAAATATACTATTTCTCTTAGCTAGACAATTTGAAAAGAAGGGGAAGTCTAACAACTCTTACAGCCTCACACCCTCCTACCTGAATTATTTAAACATTTGGTATAAATCCGTCCTACCTGAATTATTTAAACATTTGGTGTAAATCCCTTTCAAAGTATTGGCAATGCACAGTATTGCTGCCCTTAGTGTACCAGTCAATCAAGGTAAATTGGTGCAGTAAATACTGAAGCTTCTTCAGCCATGCCCTGCTTTAACTGCCTTTTCTCATGGTGTATGGAAAGGAAGATGAATGGTTCCTGCTGCACTCAAAGAGGGAGAAGAGTTTGTGGAACTGCAGCAAACAGCTCTCAAAGAGGCTGCAACAATGCAGGGAAGCAGCCATCTCCATTTGCAAGAGGCAGCAGGTATTGGGCTGATTTCATCTATATCTAGAGCTTTGTCCTGTTTCTGGGATCTGAGAGAGAAGCTGTAACATGCAAAACTAGGCTGTTCCAGTTCTGATGTTGTCAGTTGCTGACAAACATTGTTGTGATAAGCTGCTTATCTCTTTGTAGCTGTGATGATCTTGGAGAGTCAAAGGACACTTGTCTGTGCCCCCACAATGGTAGGCTGCACTTCCAGCACACAGACAACAGCCCTCAGTGAAACTCCTGGCCTGAGTCATGAATTGTGCTGTTCTGAGACCTGCTTTGCCTTACTCCAGGATAGGCAGTAGCTGCTTCTTACAAGGCAGAGCATGCTTGTACAAAGAACATCCTACTTCAAGAACAAAAGTGGCATCCAGAAATAGGTGTCATTGCATCATTTTAGGTAATACTGATTGACTGCATATTTAATCAAGTAACAGGACCAAGCTGCCATGCCCTCCAGGACTGAAGGTGATACAAACTATCCAGTCATATGAGCTTTTTCCACTCAGCTGAAGAGGCACTGCAAGTGGCAGGACTCCAACCCCAGTAAGCACATGCTGCACCAGAGACTACGGTGTCAGTTGTTTTAAGAACTCGGTTCTGGCTTTCCGCTCCTCTTCAGCTTACTGTCCTTCCAGCACATGGACTCATTCATGTCAAGGTGACCCAAACAGGAGCCTGCACAAACTTATAATTCTGCTGGCTCTGAGCACAGCTATTTCCAGCAGTGTCCCTTACGTTAAGCAGTGCTTAGTATACTGCAGCACTGCTTTAAAGGATATGGAAAATAATAAAATGCTGCATAGACTCATTAACATTGTTACTGGGCTTCTTAAAATTGCAGGCATATCTCAGGCTCTAATGTCATACAAGTACAAGGTTGGGGGTAAGGAGTTCCTGCTTTTATAAGCCCATTCACTAGAACACAGACACCACCTGCCATGACCTTGGCGAGTCACAGAGCAGAGGGAGCTGGAGAAGGGCAGAGGTCTAGCTGAGAGATATGTCCAAGTCACCCATAATGAGCTAGATTAGGCAAGACTAATGTTATTTTGAGTTAGACACCATTAACAACTGGAAAGGTCATCACCACAGCACAGATTTAAAACCAGTGCTTCGCCACAAATCACAGCCTACTGCTGCATGTTACATTAAACCCAACAGGTCAACATAAGTCTTTTTAGCACCATTACAGGTCAAGAAATACATTTATGACATGTAATGTACTTAGTGCATAATCTGCAAGGTGGAGATAGTTCTGCTTGTGCAGTTCAAGCAGCATGTCCACACCTCTATAAAATCACCTGAATTTAGAAGATTACAAATCCTAAGATGAAGTCGAGTTCCTAAAATTAGGTCACTGATTTGGCCCTGCTCAGACCATCATGTGATCTACGTGGTTTTGATCATTTATTTAAATGACCCTGAAACAATCTTTTGTTCTTTATCTGCTAGAAGGTATCAGTAAGAATCTATTTGTTTCATCATAAGTTTCCGGCTGTACTCGTAGGCAAGGAACAGTGCCCCATTGGCCACAAATGCACGGATCATGGTTGGTGTTAGTCCAGAATACAAGGCAAGTACACCTGGAAATGAAATCAGAGCCAGTTAGCAATTTATTAAATTGGCTGTCTGCATCAGCCACTGTGCATCTTACCTTTGAAGGATCCAAAGCCAAGTTGCTGCTTAGAGGAGCATGAACAGAGAACTGAACTCACTGGTGCAGCTGCTAACTACAATGTTACTGGATATAGGAGTATCTAGTGTTGTAGTAGGAGTTTCGCCATTTAAGTGCTTGTGTTAGAAGCTTACTTCAGGTATTTGGGTAGCCTTCAGAAGGCTACCTTGGTTATCTGAGATACAGTTCACAGCAGCTCTACCACAGCTGGCAAGGGGACAGAAAGAACAGCAGCACTATGCTAGAGCTCTGCCCTAAGTCAGACTCCAGTCCTGATGAGTATTTTCCCAGCAATGGGGCCAGGATTCATAACTGCTGCCATGTACATTCTTACACCATCTTCCAAAGTGCCTGACATAGGCCTCTTCCAGAGATGAAGTGCTGAGGTAGATGCCTCAAACTGCAGGCTGGCTAGGGCTGTTTGACAAATCAATCCTCAGCCTTAGATTAATTTCTAGAGGTGAAGAAAAATTCTGCACAGAAGTTACCCAGTTCCTTCAATTTTCACATATAGGTTTAGTCATGGGTAATGGAGCCTATTCCTTTATCTGCTTTTACTGCATACTGAGCCTTTGTTAGCTTTAAGTGAATTGTTTCCCAAACCAAGAGGCAGAGCAGATGTAGAAGGTCTCAATTTCTGCATTCCAAACTTTCCAGACTACATGAAGTATTAATATTTGTTTCCTAGAAACAGTTATTGTCTGCCTCTAATACATTATCACTGGACTAGATTTCTTAAGCAATTTTGGGTACTGGAGGGTATAGATTTCAGTCTGCAGCCCTATAGATTCAGTTGGTCTGTTTGCATACTCACCTTCAGTTCTCACAACAGTTACAAATGTTCCCATGAAGCCTGCCTGTTTTCCAGCCATCGAAAGAACCTGAATTCTAGATTTGACACAATCCACAGGATACACAGCAATCCACAGACAGCTGCCTCCAAAACCTCCACTTAGTAGCAAAGGAATGGGACCTAAAGTTAAGAAATAAGCTTTTATGCACATCACAATATTCACCAGCATAAACATAACATTATTTCATCTACAGAAGTCAAAGAGAATGGAGGAACCTGCTTATGACAAAAGAGCAGTTTCTGCTCCCCAATAAACCTGCAAGTTAATTTTAAGCCACTAGTAAATAACAAGACTAACTAGAAGCTCAAAGGTTATAGAGTGCCTCTTAGATTATTGGCCATGCTAAAAAAGCATAACTCAGAATTGTTTTGACTGTATTAACAAACTCCTTTAACACTTGTAATTACTTTGCAAGGCTAATTGTGAAATGGTTTAGAGTAACGTCATACAGTGTTACTAATCACCTATACAGAGATTTATTTGGTACATGGGAGTTATTTTGTGATCATTTTTTTCATGCTGCACCATGATTTTGTGTTTCACATCATATGTTTATAAACATTTTGTAACAAGTGAGGCCAGAATGCATGCAGCTGAAATCCTGACTCCCTGCAAGACAAAGTATTACTGTTCAGTCTTTCACTGAGAAACAGGCAATCTTTATTCTGGCATCACCTCATTTTTTTCATGTCTAATTTGCAATCTCAGTGTTCTCTTACTATATCATCGTGATTACATCTAATGGTCAGCATACATTTCAGCATACACTTGAACACACTGTTCAAGAGAATGCAGATAAATACTTTAAAACTGCTCTAAATGACTGCCAAAATGAAATAGTTTAGAGTTGTGTTCACTGTAGGGTCAGATATTTCAGCAGTTTTATACTGATAGCTCACTGTATTCATTCTCCATTTATAATACATCCTGCTTCATTGGAAAGTGGTCACTTCAATAATTCATTACTATATGTACCAAAATGCAGAGCACTGTATTTTTTATGTCCAGTTTCCTTCATTTTACATGTATTTTACAACATTACTATATCTTCAGGGAAGATACACCCCATGCCTTATGTCCCCCATGACATGCTAAAACCCACCTGGAGAAAGAGACACCATACCTAATTCATCTTTTGATCTCCCAGAGGCAAAGAATGTCCGGCTCAGTTCATACCCTCCAAAGAAGAAGAAATAGCCTGGGATTTCCCTCAGCAAAGTGCTTGACCAGCCACGGTAAAATCCAAGGGGACCATCCTTTTGAATAACACCCTTCACCACTGACCAAACTGTACTGAGAGAGAGGTTGATCCAGTTAGTGATGCTTAATAAACAGATAGTGAGAGGTTACAGAACAATAGGCAACTGCAGCAACAGTGAAGGGTTGGGCCCATTGTGCAAACAACAGAATTCAGGAAGGCTTAGAACAAGATCCTGCTTGGAGCCCTTCACTGGCATCCAGCCTTACAACTCTTCTCTGGCTAGCAGTGCCAAGTGTGTGTCACAAGTGTGACACGGAGCCACTACTGAATTTGAAGTAATAATACACATAAAAGGGTTTCAGAGATACTGGGCAGGGTGTATACTTACTTGTGTCCCTGGATTATCTTTCCTGACAACTGCATTTCATGCATGGCCTGCAGCCGGCACTTCACCAGCTCTGTGGGACAGAGGACAAGGGTGGCAAAGGCAGAGGCAAAGGAGCCTGCAGCAGCATTCTGCAGATCACTGCAAGAAAAATCAGAAGGTATTTGGGCACTGACCTTTAGTGCAAGTGGAGGCACAGCACCAGAAATCAGCTTCCTCAACCTGTACTCTAAATATCATCCAGAAAAACTGACACAGTCTTGGGGGAAAGAGACTCAAGGGAAAAGGGCAATTACTTGAACTAGAGAGAGGAAAAACCTAGCTCATACCATCTTCTTATACAACTCAAAGACATCCTTTTGACACCTGAAAAGATGTTGCAACCTCTACCCTTTTTGCTATACTTCAAGTGACTTCAGCAGAATAAACACTAAACAAAACTTCCCCTTCTTGGCTTTTATAAAGATTTCCATAGACTTGTTTTACTGAGCAATATTTGGTTACTAGTTACTCTCTCAAAGAGAATAAGAGCAATAATCACCTCCTATAGACAGATGTCAGTGTTTTCAGTTCACCTTACCAGTAGTATTAATAGAGGCTTTCAATGAAAGATGGTAGAAAACTGAAAGCAAGGCACAAGGGATCACCAATCTTTCTATGGATGTGCTGCCATGAATGCAACCATGTGAATCAGAGATAGTGCAGACAAACAAACCACATGACCAGCCAAGACAGCACTGTCATCTGCAATGACTCACAGGATTCCAAAACTGGGGCTTACTTGGTGGTGATTTTGCACATACCACAAATTCTGGGCTACTAAACTGCCAGGACTCAGAAGGCTGGTACCCCAGGGTCATGCTGCTTTATGATCCATTTTAAGCAAGCTCCTACAGACACTGCTGTGTTGGACAGGAGCTGCACAATAGCACAGAACAAGTGGAGCTTCCCTCTTCTTGCAGAGCTTGGGGAGTCAGCACAGCTGAGACTGACCTTGCTGCAGCACAGAAATTCTTTCCGTATGACAGAGATGTTTGCCCTGTGTCCAGCAGTTTTATACAGCTATAGTATCAGAGATTAAAACTACAACTTTTCACCTTGCAGAAGCACCACAGAACTAGAGTTGTGACATGAAGCAAAGCTCGTAGTATATTCTGATATGGCAGTGACAAGAACTGTCAAAGCAGAAGAAATCAGTCTATGGAGCAGCAACTGAAAATATGCAGTAAATAAATGGCACACAAAGCTGGGTGTAATGGGGAGCTAAAACTAAAGACAAAGCAAGGCAGTATAAGGCTGAGTCCTGCAGTCATTAAACTGTTAGCTAGAGCAAGGCTCTACAGTTGCATTTTGAAGAATTACAAACAAAATATGGAAGAGGTGCCTTCTTGCTACAGTTTCATAGGATGTTAAGGGGTTGGAATGGAACTTAGAGATCATCTAGTCCCAACCTCCCTTGCCGTGGGCAGGGAAACCACCCACTATGCATGAAAGAGTGCACAGAATTTTTCTTCCTTCAGGAGAGAAAAACCTCCAGGTATTATCAGACAAAAAGAACGGACACATGTACATGAAGGACTAGATTTAGCCCTAATTCAGATTTTTTCTACTTTTACCTGTTGATGTTTAATTCTACATGACAAAAATTCAACCAGACCTGCTGTCCAGGATTTGGTCCTTAATATAGTGAACCTCACTGCAGAAGTGATAAGCTTTGAATTCTGTTCAAGTTCCCCTTCAACTCAAAACACCCAGTTCAGTACTTTTTCTGGATGGGAGAGTTTTGATTACACATCACAGGAGCAAGAATCCTCTACTCTTACACTGCTGCTTTTACTATAGAACACATTTATCTTGATTTGTCAAAGAAAGTAACTTGCTGAAGATGACTAGTCACATACTGAGAAAGTCAAACTCAGATGAACAAGGATAACAGTTCTCTCAGTTTAGACTTGGGCATGAAAAAAAATATCAGTTTGGTTGTACTAAATGGGCATTTAAAGACAAATGGAATTTAGCATTTCTCTTTCCATGTTGTTGTCTCAGTTTAGAATTCAATATGGAATGAAATCATTCTGGTTGGACTAAACATATATTGAAAGAGAAATGGAATTTAGCATTTCTCTCTCCATTTGTTTTCTTTATGACTTATGCATCAGTGGCATATATTTCTTTAACTAGAAGCTGTCCTTGTAAATGTTTTCCAAGGCTTCACATACTGACCAGGCAAGCCACTCAAAGGTATGACTGAAAAGGTAACTTAAAACCAGAATATTATAGCTGGTTCTGAGAAAACTCAAACATAGGGAAAGGTAAGGGGTCTGTAAGCTGAGCAAACAGAAACCCCCTGATCTAAGAAAGAAATAAAAAAAAAAGGTGAAAACAGTTCTGTCTCAGCTAAGAGGTCTTAACTGTCAGAAAACATTGAGAAAGAATATAAGTAGAGAGAATTATATAATTTGTTATACTACAAATAAACTCTTCATGTTCCCCTGATAGCAGGCCTCAGTCTTAAGGAGAACATCTCTTAATGCCACCTTTAGATACTTGTCTTGCACTTAGGCAGCTACCCATGTTGTGTCAGATCTCAAATGCAGAATCATGGCCTCCCCAGCTACTTCCACTGCAGACAGACGTGACAGAGCCAGAACAAAGATATCAAAACAAAGCTGAATGTGGTCAACGTTATATCACTCTTTGAATGAACGGAGTTAGGACAGTATGAGAAGTGCTTTGCACACTGTGGCAAAGCACAAGGATGGAGAAGGTGCAGCTAATCTCAGCACTGCACACGAGAGGTACCTTGAGGAATATGTAACAGTAGGGCACAGTAAGACTGCTGGACCACTGACAGCTCTAATGTGATGCAGATGGACAAAAACCATCCTAGCTAGAAAGATCATAATCATTATGCCAGTCCACAAATCCATGACCTGTTAACACCTTGAATACTCTGCACAACTTCGGTCTCATCAGCTAAATCCCCAGACACATTAGCATTGCAAGTTTCAGGAAAAAGACAGTGATGACAGCTAAAGGAAAAGCTTCAGAGTTCTCATTGATTAGGAAGGCTGGGATTTTTCCATGGAAGAGAAGATTCAGGTGCGGAAGAGGGGCATAGAGCAATGGATAGAGGTCTACAAAATCCCAGGTAACATGGAGACAGTGGCTAAGGATCAACAGTTACAGAATTAATGACTATCACCTGCAGAGTTCCCTGCCAAAGTGTACTGCAGATGCAAGGTACTTAGAATAATCCAAAGGAGACTGGACAGGTGCTTCAAAAGATTCAAAGTCACTGGCTGGCTCACACAAAGATCAAGAAATCTTCTGAACATAGAACACAGCCTGGCAGAAGACTTGGGAAGTATTAAATACTTGATTCTCATTCTTTAGGCAATCACTTACTGCCGATGCCATAGACAACACACTAAGCAAAATCAGACCTTTCATCTAACCACCGCTACACATTCAGGATTTAAAAACATAAGTAAATTTTTTAAAGCAAGGCAGTATTAGAAAAGTGTCCTTTCCCCTTAGTATGTATCCCTGCAAGAAGAAAGACTACCATCCCTGCAAAATCAGAACAACCTAGATATCAAAGGAATACTAACTTTCAGGTGTTGCAACGCTCAGTCCCATTGGTAAAAACATTCCAGGCCTTGAATACTCCAGTTAAGCTGTGATCATCTAAACCAGCCAGCTGCAGTCACTCTGTAGTCACTGCAGCTGTAGTAGATGGGTCTGTTATGGTTAGACACCATATCCTCACACAAAGGCCTATATTCCAATACTACACTGTATACTGGCGGAGGGGACCCAGCACATCGCTTACACCCTGGGCAAGTAGCAGTGGTATGATTTTTTTATTTATTTACTTTAGAATACGAAACGATTTTTTTATTTATTTACTTTAGAATATGAAACAGATTTATTACTAACCTGAGCTTTGTCTTCCTGTCTACTCCAACAATTCTTCTCACGATTTGTTGGCAAAATCCATAGCACATGAACAGAACGGAGTTCTCAGCGATGTTGGCTAAAAGTGCTGGTGTGGTTCCCTTGTAGAAGCCTCGAAACCCCACTTGCTTATAGGTTTTCACAAAACAGTCAACAAGTCCTTTGTACATGCTGGGGAACGTCTGCATCTTCACCTTTGCAGTGTCAAAGGGCTGGCCAGTCACCACACATGCTGTCCCACCTAAGCAAGCAGTGCAAGTTAAGAGGGTGGCTGCAGGTTATCACAACTGCAACACCTATACACAAACACCAGTATTAGGAAAATCACGCAGAAAGCAAGGATGAATTAATTCTCTGCAGGAAAAGACAAGTGCACTGATTTTAGCACAATGGCATCAGTTGTCTGTGATCAATTTAGTTACCTTAAAAAAAATTCAGGCAAAGGAGCAGTTAACAGCATGATTCCTATTAAACATTTCTTCACTTCAGGAAAAGCAAGCATCTAAGTGAACTGGCTCACTTGCATAAATGGGTGCTGGATTAGAGAGGTATTGTTCTGCAATCAAGTCACTTGTGTCAATGAGTTAAGAACTCATTTTCCTTTGCTCATTAATGCAGTGGTTCAGAAGCTATCTGATTTTTACATTCCAATAATATCAAAAAACTAAAAGATTTGTAATCAAGTGAGACAAAGATTCCTCCAGGACAAGAGGAACACTGCTGAGAGTGCTAAAACCGATCATACATAATAAATTGATAACCAAAGACTCAAACCCTTTACTTCAAAACTCCAGATGACCCTTAAGTACGTTTATTTCCACATACTGGAAGAAAGTGCCGAGTATAAGCTGAAAAAGGACAAAAGGGCAAAGTTTCTCAACATGTTATCTTTTCCAAACTGAACTGCAAGGTCAATACCCTGAAAACTTGTGAGATATTTCCATCAATGTCACCAATAACCATTTTGCTCACAGTGCAGTGTCCTTTCACAAGATCTAACTCTAGTCAGTAGTCTGCAGAAAGAGCTAACATTATTACACTTTTTCAGTAAGAAACAGTGTACAGTGACAGCAATCTATTAGCAGCAGATACCTGACAGGAAGCACAAGATACGTGTACCTTATATAGGCTTTATGGTTTTGCCTTTTTAGCAAGAGAGAAGAACCATCCTAAAACAGAAGCTGATCTTTAACCAAAGCACAGTTGACATGCACATACCTTAAATTATCTCTAAATGCAGATAACAAAGTAACTGAAATGGAAACAGATGTGTGAGTCATATCATATCATAGAATCAGATCACAGAATTTTAGGGCTTGGATTGGACCTTACAGATCATCTAGTCCCAGCTACCCCTGCTATGGGCAGGGACACCTCCCTATTAGACCAGGTTGCTCAAGGCTTCATCCAACCTGGCTTTGAACACTGCCAGGGTTGGGGTAGCCACTACCTCCCTGGGCAGTCCAGTAAAGATTAGTTCTTTTTCTTTTAAGTGTGGGAAAGGGTAAGCAAGTGATTAACTGGTGTTATTTGCAATCCATTTTACTCTTGGCCAATACATGTTACACTGTTGTTGCTCCTCTGCAAAGAGGTACTTCAGGCCTTTAAGAGGAACTCAACATCTAGCTGCCATAAAACTTCATCTCAACCAGATGGACCATTAAAAGCTTCAGAGCAAATCATGCAAGGCAGCATGAAGAGCTGCCTGCTCTGGAAGGATAACCAAGGAGAAAAGTGGCCGGCTCAGACCAGTAACATCCATGCAAGCCTCAAACGAAAAGCAGAGCTGGCAAGGCTCAGCCCATGTAATTTGCAGGCAAGTCAGGTAGATATTAATCTACAGGACATATGCCAGGTTCCTGTAATAAAATAACGGCTGTTGGAAGACGCCTGGGGAAACCATGAATGGCCTTGGAAATGCAAAGCTGAAAAACTGGGAGTTGACAGTGAGGGGCTGTTCCAAAGAGACTGTCATTGGAGGTGGCCCAAAAAGCCTAGTAAACTACGGCAATGAACCTTCGTAAGCCTCAAGATAAAGACCAAAAGTCCCAGTTATTATCTAAAATATTTAAAAAATATAATTTTTCCAGCCAGCAGTAAAGAGTCAAAAAACACCCAACACAACTACAAAACAAAACAGAAAAAAAAGAAGTCAACTCTATTTGAACATTTAGACAAATGTGGTCCTAATAACATGGCAATGGTGGGGAGAACAGTTCTACTGCATCAAAAAAGTATTAGAGGTTGCTTAGATTATAGGCAAAGGACTATGACCCACAGACAGCTAAATGACTTATTTATTCTAGTTCAGAATTTACTTGCCCCAATATGCCATTACTTATCAGTTAGCTAAGACTGTATCTGGAGAGGAAGGTAAAACCAGGTTATGCATTTGCTGGAGGAACGAGTGGTTTGCTTACTTAAATACATTTTCTAAAGGGTGCAGAGACTGCCACACTGGACTTGTGCTATCTGTCACCCTTTGCTTTCTCTCTTCCACTCTGACAAATGACCTCAAATAACTACCATTGAAAGCACTTAATACCATTAATACTGACATATTCACAGCATTAACAGTGCCATAAAAGAACTGACTGTAATAGTTATTGTATGGGAAAGAAAAAAAAAAAACCACAAAATTTCCCAAACTGGTTACAACAGAAAATTAGACAGATCTTCCACCTTGTCTGTATAAACACTGTACACTTAGAAATGTCATAAAAACAATGTCCCTTAAGAATGTCCCTTTTCCTTAAAAACCACATCCCTCAGCCACAGACTTTACTGACATGGCAATATTAGTGAGACAATGCAACCATTTCCATATAACTGGTCCAGCAAAATTTTACAGCACAGACTAGACTGAAGTGGAAATCAATTAAGTGAATTCATCATCAGTTCTACTACTGAGCTTCCCAGTGTTTAAAGATTCACACCAGGATGTTGTCTACCCTTCAGATAGCTTCTTGTCCGTTTCAATGAGAGTGTGTTCCTGTGACAAAAGCAGTACCTCACAATAACTTCACTCCAAAACACTACTTGTGACTGACTCTCAAACTCATGTAAGCATGAGAACTTAAACCTCCCTACAGAAAATAATTAGTCTAAAGTTAGGGGTTACACCTTCACTGCGTGGCAGGGGTTTCACCAGGGAGGAGCAGTAGTGACAACACTGGCTGAGGTCAGTTGCTTCACCTCCATATCCTTAAAATACAGACAGTGAGGCTTTTTGTCAAGGGCATCAAAACTGCCTCCCAGAAATTTTGTGCAATTGAGTTCTCTCCAGGATTACCTGCGGCTCCTGCTGTGAGGTCAATAGCAGCCTGAACAGCAGAGTTGATCCTCATGCTTCACACTTGTTTATCAGTTACTTCAGAGCAAAGTCTCTGTTTCGTGGTAGGTATGGGGATACTTGTCTCCTGGGGGAAGAGAAAGACGAAACATGCACAACTCATGATAACTCTTGATAGGCAAAAG